ACACTGAGAGAGGAGAGAGACCCACACACTGAGAGAGGAGAGAGACCCACACACCGCTGGCGGCTCCTCTGAGCCGCTGCTGTTGGCGTCTCCGGAAGGCGCAGGGCACGCCTCTCTGGAAGACTGGTTGTTGCTTGGTGGGACAGTGGACACGTTGACCATGGCCACCATGGCGACGCTGAGATTGACGCGCAGCGCGTAAACCACGGCGAAGCCCAGGAACATCAGGGTGGCCAGGCCCCAGCGCGCGGAGCAGCAGGCAGGGGGCGCTACAACGCACACAGTAGAGCAATGAGCACCGAACACATCCTGGGTGTGTTGGCATGTGCTCTGAACACACACTAACGCTCAGGAAGACCACTCTACTGCAGACCCCCACAGTGTGACAACGTACATATTACTCAGCAGACTGTCCCAGGGGGAAATGTGCTTTGCAGGCAGGTAAAGGACACAACACATTTAACACAACAGGAGCCCACTCACAGATACCAGACATGCAGGTGTGATAAGAAAGACAATAAGTACTGTAGATGTGAATGACGTCAATTATACAGTCAGCTTTTGAAACTGGGCAGGTAAATAGGAATGGGGAATACAAGACGACTGATCTGAATCTCGGCAGTCTAAACACGCCCAGATGGGAGGTCAGATTCACTGTGAACGGGGTGGACATGGAGCGGATGAGCTGAGGTCATGGTGGGGTCACAGCGAGGTCATGGCGGGGTCATGACCCCGTGCCCACAGAGCCAACACGGACGGCACCCGTCCCCTAGTCCACGTACCAGGCTCCGCCGGCTCGCCATCCAGGAGGGGCGTGGCCTCCTCATCGCAGCTGTTGCAGTTCACAGAGCCGCGGGAGACCAGCGCCATGGCGACCAGCAAGGCGGGGTCAGGGGTCCCGGCGGGGCGCTGGACTCATCGTCTGCAGGCCTCCCGCCAAATGGCTCCAGTCAGAGCCGGACAGTCTGCCACAGTCCAGCTGTTAACACTGGGAACCAGAGCTCTCCTGGGGAACAATAAGGGAACAAACATCTCCGGAACAGAACTCGAGAACCGGATTATCACCTCCATCCTGCAGCCTGGCAGCTCTACAACCTGGCGAGGATCTGGCCTGCTGACAGCCACAGGCAGAGCACTGAGCTCCACTGACTCCCACCCCACCAAAAGAGCAAAAGCAGAACCATCTCATCTGAAAGATTCTCGGCTCTGGTCCCCACAGCACAGTAACACACACACACACAAACACAAAACGGGGCCATGAGAAAGCGCATACAGACCGAGTGAGGAAGGAGACAGAAGTCTCCCACTAATTTTTTTAAATAATTTTTTATTAAATGTGTAAAGAATTTACAAATACAAATACAATCAGAGGATCAAATTAGGTACAAGAGAACAAACACAAACAGAAAACTAAACAGTTAACCGCCAGAGGTAATAAGTAAGTTATATGATTAAATTGTATTTTTTACATATATCATATGTTTTCCGTGCTTTATTATTTCTCACATTTTTAATAAAATTTAAACAGTGTTTTAGCTCCACCTCAAAAGAACTAAAAAGGGGAGTATTATTAGACCATTTGGATTTATGGATGTGGAATTTACCAAGAATGATAAATAAATTGACTATAAATAAATGCTCTTTTTCCAAATTTTCTACTAAACAGTACAATAAAATGTCAAAATCCTTCAATCTAAAAAACACCTTTAACTGTCTCCCACTAATTCACAAGCTGCACACGGGCACGTCGGCCCTGCTCCCCGCCGGGACATCCGCACGGCTCGGCGCTCGAGTCTTACCTAAGACAGGCGGGAGGGTGAGGGGGTATCCGGTCCGGACTCTCTGATCGACACTTCAGTACCCCAAAAGCACAGCCGCATCACTCCCAGCTGATCAACTCCCTGCCGGTCAGAGTTCTGCGGTTTGGACGAAGAGATCGGCGGTCACATGACCTGCCAAAGTCCCCGGTCACATGACCTGCCAAAGTCCCCGGTCACATGACTGGAAAGGGGTGGGGCTTCTGGTCCAAGCACACGTGACAAGGAAGCGGACCCATAATAAGAGGAAATATTACACAGAAAACAGAACTGCGAACTGCTTTTAAGGGAAGTGTTATCTAAAATTGATACGTGATACTGCAGAGCACTGATTGCGCAAAATAATTTATTGAAGAGAGCGGTGTGGACAAAGACGCGCCAGTGTGCTACTCCGTCCTCGTCACACGCACCGCTCTTCCGTGTTTTGGTGGACTTCCGCAGAGTCTAGTCCTCGCTCTTCCCGGACGGGCCCTGCATCACCATGGCAACCTCGCCTCTCCTCCGCCTGCTCTTCGGAACCGGACCGCTGCTCGCTGCCCTGCTCGGCTTGGCTCGGGGCTCCAACGCCACGGTCCCGCTGGTGCTGTGGCACGGCATGGGTGAGAGCTGTACCGCCGGTGTCCTGGGGATGATGACGGGGATGAGAATGAGGACGTTAAGTGTCGAGTTCCTGGAAAGCGCAGGAGCAGTGAAGAAAAGCTGTAGACGTCGTGCCGCCAAAACCGGCCCAGGAAGGTTTTCTAGACTCCTGGTTGCCACCGGCTGCACTAACTGAAACAGCCGCTCGCTTCCTGTTTCTGTCGCTAGTGCTCTCAGTAATAAGGGGCTCGCTGAGACCAATACAGGGATGCCAGTGCCGTCTCCTCAGCTGGGTACTAGGCCGTGTGTAGCCCCGCAGTAATCCGAGGGTGACGGTGTCCCTGGAGCGGCTCAAGAGCGGGGCATCTGCGTGTCGACTCCACTGTAACAGCAGTGTGGCCACATACCCAGTCCCAGCATTATTACAAACCTGCAGTTACTGTAATAACATCGTAATGAAGCACTGCAACACTCCAGCAGTGCCACAGCCTCACCCTGCTGTCTCCCCAGGGGACAGCTGCTGTAACCCCCTCAGCATGGGTGCGATAAAGAAAATGGTGGAAGTGAAGATCCCAGGGATATATGTCCTATCGCTGAAGATCGGAGACAGCATTGTCCAGGTAATCCCTGGGGATCCACCCCTCTCCTTGTGCTACTGCTCTTCTCTCCCAGTCTCCCTGTGCTAATTCTCTCTCTCTCCCTCTGTCCAGGACACAGAGAACAGCTTTTTCATGGATGTCAATGCGCAGGTCTCCCTGGTGTGTGCCCAGCTGTCCCGGGACCCCCAGCTAAAGGGGGGCTACAATGCCATGGGTTTCTCGCAGGGGGGTCAATTCCTGTGAGTGAGGGGGGCTGTGGAATCAGGCTGAGCCTGGGGATGAGCGTGGCGTTCAGGGTGAGTGAGCGTGGCGTTCAGGGGTCCTGAAATCTCTTCCCTCCCTCTCCCTGCAGGAGAGCTGTGGCCCAGCGATGTCCCTCCCCACCAATGAGGAACCTCGTCTCAGTGGGGGGTCAGCACCAAGGTAAGAGCACCCCGAGGCCCACAGCACGGCCGCCCCGGCCCGACTCGGCCCGTCTCACCCCTCCTCTCCCCGGCAGGAGTGTACGGCCTCCCTCGCTGCCCGGGAGAGAGCTCTCACATCTGCGACTGGATCCGCAAGATGCTGAACTCTGGCGCCTACACCCCCCTCGTGCAGAACCAGTGAGTGTCTGCGGAACCGCCAGGCCCGTTTTCCTGTCTGGCTCAGGGGTGGTACTGACCCGTCTCTCTCTCAGTCTGGTCCAGGCGCAGTACTGGCACGACCCCCTGAACGAGGACCTGTACAAGACCCACAGCCTCTTCCTCGCTGACATCAACCAGGAGAGGGTCAGTCTGTCCGTCCCCCCACTGCTCCCCTCTCCCACACTGTATGGTGTATTAACCCCTCTCCCACAGTGTAGTAGCCCCTGTGCTTGCTGTAGTGCTGTTTCAATGCAGTGCTCATTAACCCCCGTTTCTCCCAGGTGGTGAATGAGACCTATAAGAAGAATCTCATGTCTCTGAACAAGTTGGTGATGGTGAAGTTCCTGAAAGACAGTATGGTGGATCCTGTGGACTCTGAGGTACATACTGGCAGACTTTACAGACCTCTCAGTGTCAGACACATGCAGACTGTATGATAACCCCTGTTGCTGTAGTCAGATCAGTGTGCTTTTTAACCCCTCTCGTACAGTGGTTTGGGTTCTATGGCCCTGGTCAGGCCAAGGAGACACAGACTCTGCAGGAAAGTGCACTGTACACAGAGGTAAGCACCCTGCCTCACTCTCTGAGCTCCCGTCTCTCTCTCTCGCCCAGCATTCCTGACGCTCTCTCTCTCTCTGCAGGACCGACTGGGGCTGCAGCAGATGGACAAGGCAGGGAAGTTGGTGTTCCTATCCAGTGATGGAGACCACCTGCAGTTCACCGATGAGTGGTTCAACACAAACCTGCTGCCATACCTGCGCTAGCACACCTG